TTGGAAAAGTTTTTGTGCGAAACTCTATTTTTTCTTTTTCTCCCGAAATTATCAACTCTCACTTACAAACTCCTATTGTGATTGATGAGGATAATTATGGTGATTTAACTGAGGTTTGTCAAACTCTTTCTGGAAATCGTCTCAAATCTTGGCCTGCTCATCCCAAAAAATTCAAAATTTCTCAACTTACTGCATTTTACTCTGTCCTTTTTAGACTCGCGGTGATGAATTGGATTCCATCCAAAAATGTCTCTGTGATTACTAAACCTCATGCAGTACTCATGTACAAATTGGGGGTGGGATTATATGTTGATTTTGGCAAACTTTTCTTCAACAACATAGGTAATTTTGCACATAAAATTTCTTCCTCCACTCATCTTCCCTATCCTTCACTCATCTATTCCATTATGCGTTCTCAAAATTTGGGCCAAGATGAATCAGAATATCTTCACACTCCACTTGGCATGATAACTGTCTCTCCAAATTTTCTCAAAGCCCCTCATGTCCAAGATCTTCCCTGGAATGAAAATAATTTTCTCCCAACTGAATCAGGTCAAAATAATCTTGGTACTGAAGGTGTTGCTCCTCATGTTGACAACACCCCTGACATCCTTGTTTCTGTCCCTCGAGATCTTTTGTTAAGACAGCTTACTCACTCCATAGCTCAGATCATCTATCATCAGTCCATGGTAGAAATGCTCCAGAGAGCTCTTTCTGATCAAAAAGGGGGAGAACAAGCTGGTCATGAAGTTGAAGCAGGGACTTCTCATCCTTTGGATGCCAGAGGTAGAGCGCATGGAGTTAATGAAGAAGAAAAAAAGAATGTGGGTGAAGCTGAAGGAGCAGATGAAAGCAGTGGGTCCAGTGCTAGTGATGGAGGAACATCAGCTGATACTGAGGAGACTTTGGATATTCTGCTTTAAAGTTATGTTTATGAACAATATTTGTTTTTGTTCAGTTTGTTATTTTCCCTCTGAACTTTTATGTTAGGATTGCACTTTTGTTGGTTTATGATTGTTGAATTGTGTTGGATTATTAATTGATTTTCAATATTTTGTTATTTGCTATATTGGTTATCAAATTCAGGGGATTTCAAGCAATGACTCAGGGGTAGTTAAGCTAAAATTTAGTTTTGATCAGAAAGTTAAAAAGGCGGAGTTTGAAACACGTGGATTTCCACAATGTGTTTTTAACTCTCTTATTTTCGAACTAAATTTTAGTTATGGAATAAGTAGTGCTTAGTGGGTTAAGTATAATGCTTAGTGGACTAAGTATAATGCTTAGTGGATTAAATTGAGGATATTATCTTAACTACTAAACTAACCCACTAACCCATGTTCTTGAGTGTTCTTGTGGTCCGTTTTTCTTGCAGATCATGGGCTGAGGAGTGGAAGCTTGGAATGTCTATAAATACCGGCTTCAAGACTCAAGGAATATTAAGGATTCTAAGAAACAAAAACTGAGAGCTAAAAAGAATACATGAGTGTATTAGTGTGTTTTTAGAATCTGTTGTACGTACTCCCCATGAGTACATTCTTTGTAGTCTAGATTTTTAGTATATAGTTTGCATGTTTCTAGATTTGGTTGTAAGAATGATCAAGATAGTGATTCATTCATAAGGAAGAAGTTCTTGTACTTCTTCTCTTTGTATTCTTGTAATACTATTTTAATATAAGTTTTACGTCCTTTAAAGGGCAAGTTCACAAGTTTTACTTATGAACATTTTTAAATCTGAGTATTGTTTTTATATTTCCGCTGCATGTTTATACAAGTGTCATAACACTTAATATAACACATCTGTATTAAACGAATTCGGGACCATAAATTCTTTCAAAGTCATAAAAAGGAGTGTAGATTACTCGGTAAATTTGATCCCACATGAATTGCCTCAGCCCCAAGGTTTGTCTGTCTATATATTGTATAGTCAGTCTACTAAAATTCTTTTGTGTCTCAAATCAAATCTCTTGTATCATAAAACAAAAGAACCCCTTAAATTCAAGTACTATTCGAAGTTGACGCAAATGGTATTCTAAATGTAGAAGCCGAAGACAAGGGCTTTGGACTCTGGAGATAGATCGGATGGTTAAAGAAGCGGACGAATTCGCCACAGTAGCGCAAGCACATATATCTGGTAGCAGATGCCATTTCAAAAATTCCCCGCGAATTTGCGGTCGCTATATCTTCTCGTGGGGGGAGGGCCGGGGGGCATGGTGGCACCGTCGGTTGTATTCCAATATGCAAAGAAAAATTCATTAGAAGAGAAGTGATGATGGATTCAAATTTCCTGATAAATGAAAAATAGCCCTTCTTAAAAATCTCATTTTGTCAACAAATCTACTATTGGGGCAAAATGCAATGGATTTTATATTTTCAAGGGGGACTTTCTCTCTTTTTTTTTGTTTGCAGGGGGTTTAGTGCTAAAACTTAATTTTTTTAGGGGGTGAAGTGCTATTTGCCCATAATAATTCAGTCATCTACAACCCAACACCATTCTTCCCATCTCCACCGCTATATAGATCTCTCATCCGCCCTGCCATGGTCGTCTCCATATTGTACACCACACTCACAATGAAGGCACTGAAGGTGGAAAGCAGCCAAACTGAACCGAATTTTTGAAAATTCACGGGTTGTTGATGGGTTTTGAAGAAGAATAATGAGCTTGAATCTTAGCTCCAAAGCGAACCGAATTTCGTCGGAGAAAATGTTGGAGTGGTGGGGCGAAGTGAAGGCTGGGGATATGGAGGGAGGTGAGGCCGGAAAGGTGTTCGCCGGAAGGAGAGCGGTCGTCAGCCATGTTCTGTGTATTTTTGAAAAATTGCAATTCAACCCTGACTTAAGGAAGCAGAGGGCCTTTCTGAAACTTCAAGGGACTGGATTGAAAAAATTGAAAACTTTATTTGGGGCTAATTTTTTGAAATTTATAAATTAAAGGGTATTTGGGTCTTTTCACATTAAAAATCGAACCTCAGTCGCATATTTGGCGAGTGTATCACACGACCAGCTCGTAGGGACCTTAATGTCGTTAACTATGCAACACAGGGGTATGTGCTAATTGTTTTGACATAATGGCTTTTTTAACCATTAGAGATTACACAGGGAGTCTGTGCAAATAACTCTACATAGGAGAATAACAACGAATAAGAGTTTGTACTCGTGCTGAGCAAAATATAGTCAACTTTCAAATTCTCGTTGACTTGTGTTCAAAAAAAATTATCGTTGAGTTTATAGTATTCTCAACCAGTAGTATTACTATTTTTTTACGGGGCCAAGAAATGTGCAGGGAAAAAAAAATTAAAAGAAAAAAGTCAATGCTGGAGACCGACGGTCAACTGCAGCAGATTGGCGGCAACGGTCAAAGTTGGAATCGAAATTCGGTTAAAGGTCAAAATTAAATAATTTGTTGATGTTGGCGCCAGATTTCCACGAAGGAAGAAATCCGCCTCACTTGGGAAGTAAAGATTGGCTAAAGATTTGTTCCCATGTTTATTTTGGAAATTTAGAGTCCTACCTTTGTAATACTTTAGGACTTAGATTTATTTCCTTGTACTTTACTCTTATTAGGAATCTTTTATAGTTATCTAGATTATAACTAGATATTGACTAGGATTATGTTTCCTAGTTATTCGGTTCCTTTGGAAGACAGGTCTTTTGAGGCTGATCTCACGCCTATATAAGGCTCCTCACCTCACAAAGACCGTGACACTTTTTTTGGGAGAAAAATTACTCCGTTGCTTTGAAGAATCGCTGAAACGTTCTGCTGAACAGAACTGTGCCATCGTTGGATGTGTCAACATATACAGATTGGTTGTATAGATCTCTTGGGAGATCAACCGCGTCACTGAAGGGAGTTCAGGCCAGAAAGGAGTTCTAGGCACGCGGTGTGGAACTGCTGTTAGAAGAAACACGAAGTTCGAGTTGTGTGCAAGAACGGCATATTACATAAAGAGGGAGTCTTTAGTGTTTTTATTAAGTCCTATTAATGTACACTATAAATCTGAACTAGTGAAATCGTGTTTGCAGGTCCACGTGGATGTAGGGCACAATTGTGTCTGAACCACATTAATTCTTGTGTTCTGTTTATTTACTTTAAAGTAGAGTATAACTGTGCCAACACAAGATTTACAGTTGTAACTGAATACTGTTTCCACAACTTAACTGTTACAACTTAGATCAACTGATTTCTATAGGCATATAAATCAACAGTTGAAATTTGGGGTCAATTTGAGGTTAAATTGGATTAAGGGGATGAAATATGAGGATACTAAAATGTAGGTATTCTAGTTTTTTACACACCTCCTGACTATGTCTGAATTTTTTTGTAAATAGTTTTTAATCTAGACCTCTTTATGAATAAGTAACTCATGATGGGCTTACTTGTGATATCCCCTATAATAATAAAAGATAAAATTGGAAAACTTACCGCAACAAACATCATGGAAAAGAAGATATTAGCAATAAGAATATCTCACCGAATGGAATACATAATATTAGTTTCAAACAAATTTATAGTCGTCCACGACCACGACCACGACATTTTTTATTCTCAATACACAAACATCCCGCATGTATTTCTCTCATGCATCCTGATCAATCAAAATCAATGGCCCTTGATGTAATAATCTTACCTGCACCCAAAAAGAATCAGAATCATGTGGTGAATGATATCTCAATCCAATCTAAAATACAGTCACTTGTAAATACCACTCATCAAATAAAATAACTAACCTTTTACATGAATGTTAATTCCCATCATTCCCATGAAGAATGGACATTAAAATGAAGTAGATTGTAATTGAACCGTTTGAACCATTCCGGGTAAGACGGAGATAGAGGCTTGCAGTCAACTAGTTCAATCTTTTTCACCATTCCGATTCGTAAAGGGATCCTTTCTAATTTGTAGCAATGCTTTAAGCTAAGAGATCGAAGTGCTTCTAACCCCATTATATCCGGGAAAGTCCATTCCACTATATCTTTTTTTTTTTTTTTGAAGGACCATTCCACTATATCACTGTCTTCAATCAGAAGAAATTCAAGATTCGGAAATTCCTCACGTCGAGTTACCCACTTTGCCCCTCGAAACGCATGGCACCGTAATTTCAGCACTCTAAGACTTGGCAACGAAGAAATCTTGCTCATTTCTTCCCACGGATATCCTAAGCCGCTCAAAGTCAACTTCACAAGACTCGGTGGAAATATCGAAAGAGGAACAGGTGGGGCAACAACGCCAGACAACATGATTTTAGGATTTACGATTGCGCATTTAAGTTTTTCTAGTTTATGAAGATGGGAAATGTGATCGAAGAAGGAAAAGGGTTCATCGTCATTAATAGACAATTGAATTCGAATTCCTAACTTTTGTAGATTAGGCGTTCGTTCGAAAACATCTTTGGTGCAACTTTGAGGAGTCACATCTAAAAGTGATAGAAGGTTTGGTAAGAGAGATTCTTCTTCTTCAGTCGGTGGATCTGGTAAATCGCTTCCCATTACATGAACATGCTTCAGTTCTTGCATACGCCATATCTCCATAGGCAAATACGAGGAATAATTCCCACCAAATCCTATGATGCTCAAATGCCGACGCACAATCAAGTACTCAAGATTCCAAAGATTGGATATGGAAGAAGGGAGGTTTCCATTGAATGTAAGGGCAAGGTACGTCAGTTGAACTAATGTAACTACTTCCATTGAGAATTCGTAGAATCGGATTGTAAGTGCGTCGAGTATCTTTAGCAAACTCAAACTCGAACATACTGGCACTGGATATGGATGATATGGACCTGTACATAGGAGAGAACGTACAGTTGAAGTGGACTCCACCCAGTCATACACATCTTTGATGGCGAATAAAACGTTATTGCGAACGCACAATCTACGATGTCCTTCTGTACCTTCTTCTGCTAAAGCATCGGCAAGAGTATTTAAGGCGTAGAAAAACTTTCTCTTCATCGCTTCTTTGTTGCACAGGTACCAAAAGGGAGAATGGAGGCTAAAAGTTTTCATTCCATTACTATAGCTCTGCTTGTGGATCATTACAAGACTTTTCGAGATAAGCTCGAACAAACATTTCACAGCGAAATATTCTGATGAAGATATGTTCCACGTGAAAAGACTTTTGGAGAAAATACCGAACAAATGTTTCACAGCGAAATATTCATTTGTAGTTTCGTCCACGTACGAGAGAAATCCTTCAGCTCTCCACAAGTTGACGAGCTTGGAGTAGGGTATTTCATAATTTTGAGGGAAAACTCCCATATACAGAAAGCATGCTTTTAAATATTGAGGTAAGTATTCATAGCTTGGATGTAGTACCTTGGACATTTTCTCGTACGCATCCATGAAAACCGAATTTTGTTTCTCAGCAGCTACTTTGTTCCAGTACTCTGTTGTCTTGTCGGATTTGGACAGGATTTTGGCAACTGTGATGATCGTAAGAGGAAGACCTTCACATTTCTCAGCAATCTTCTTTCCAGCTTTCTCAAGTTCGTAAGGTAACGACTCTTGTTCACCAAACACCTTCTCACGAAGAAGATCCCAACTTTCTTTCTTATCAAGAAATCGTACTTCGCAATCAACATCAGCGTTGGCAGTATGAGCCACTTCCCTTAGCCTAGTTGTGATCAATATTCGACTTCCTCTATTGTCATCCGGAAAATGATGTATCAAGCCAAACCATACATCATTGTCCCATATGTCATCCAGCACCATCAAGTACCTCTTATCATCATCTAAACTTCTGTGCATCAACTCCTTTAAGGCATCTATCATAATCTCTTCTTTCATCAGCATTATCTCTTCATCAATGTCGTCAGGATTTTTCACTTGCTTTAGTATATCTATCAAGACGCGTTTTAATTGGTATTTCGGGCCCACAGTGACGAACAAACTTCTGTCGAAATGACTAGAAATCGACGGATCTTGAAAGAGTTTTAATGCGAGAGCTGTCTTACCGATGCCTGCCGTTCCGAATAGCGCGAGCGTCCTCTTCAGATGCCGTGGTGTTGGCCCTCGTGGTAATTTGTTCGTGAGCCAGTTTTTCACTTTCTTGAACTGATCGGATAATCCAACCATGCGTATTTTCGACTCGTCGGGTCTTGAATGGACGAATTCGTCTTTTTCGTCTTCTTCTTCTTCTTCTTCTTCATGCGATGGATTTTGTAACTCGTGAACGTAGGCCTTCTTCAGGTTGTCCACCGTTCGGATAAAGGAATCGATATCTTGCTTTAGTTCCTCCAAGAACAAGAATGGAGGATCATCTTCTTCTCCAGGTGATATTTCTTCATCAAATAGTGAAAGAAACTGATTTGGGCAATGCGATTCGATTACATCTTCTAATTCCCATACTGCCCCTCTGATTTGCCCGTCCAGATCATTCACCTTCTCCCTGCTGATGGCTCTACTGCTGCTGTCAAACTCTTTGAGAACCTCTTGCAATGCAGAAACCTCATCGTACAAATATTCTAGGATTTTTGTACAAGATGTTCCGAGTCGGCTTCGCTCAATTGTCTGTTTAAGGGAAATCACAGCAGCATAAGCCATCTGTTAGTACACTCTCTCTCTCTCTCTCTCTCTCTCTCTCTCTCTCTCTCTCTCTCTCTCTCTCTCTCTCTCTATATATCACACAAAATTCACTAAACTGGAACAGTTTCTCATCATAAGCATTCCTTGGTGAAATTGTTTGGAAGTCAACCATATGATATCAGATGAAAATTAATTAATGAGCATGGAAATCGAGGACAACTGCCCATTATTCACAATTAATTAATGATCAATTGTCTCCTATTAATATTAAAATAATGAGGGAACGCCAAATTTTCATTTTTATAACAAGGCTGTGCTGGCTTTGCAGAAATATGAAAACTCATGCTTAGTCAATGTACAACATGCGGGATGATTAATAATAGGGCAAATTACGATAAACCCCCTAAAGTAAGGTCTAATTACAAAAATTTCCCTCATGTTTGCGTGATTATAAAAATCCTCCTAAAATATGTTTCCATCCTACAAAGCCCCCTACCGTGTTATTTCTTACAGAATCTTTTAGATTTCATGGAATATTTATCTGAAAATTGCGCTTGAGGGGTAATTATTAGGGTTGTTCATGGGTCGGGTCGGTTGATTATCGGCCCGACCCGACCAACCGACTCATACAAATATGTAAAACCATTATCGGCCCGACTATTGTGAGTCGGATAATGGTTGGCAACCGACTTTGTCGGTTGCCAAAACGGGTCGGTTGAAATTATCGGCCAATATAGGCCACATATTAATTAAAATAAAAAATAAAAAAATTATGCTATTCCTCTATCAAAATTCAGCAACAAACATTCCAATATTTCATGCCCAAAATCAAATTTCAACAATATCACATATTACAAATTAAATTTCCAAAACCAATATAAAATACTAAAACGAATCACTTTCAGCCATTCACACTTTCACATCACAAAATTCTGAAACTTTTAATTTTAATTTGAGAAACACAAAAATTCGTACCTTAGAATTTAGAAAGAACTAGAAAGGGTTAGAGGTAAATCTTTGGAGAAAGCAGCGCGTCGGCGGCGATGGGCTGATAGAGAGAGACGAGAGATATATCGGCGACTAGAGAGAGAGACAATAGTCGAAAATAAGGCGAAAATGAAGAGTATAGTTTTTTTAGTTGTGTATTTTTATTCATTTCACCGAGAGGTCAAAAATTAAATATTGAAACTAATAGTTAGTAAGAACATAAAGATAAAATAATAATAAATAAAAAAAAAAAAAAAAAAAAAAAGTCGGTTGGTCGGGTAATATCGGCCAACCGACTTTTCAACAAATTAGAAACTATACCCAACCCAACCATGTATGGGTCGGTTAAAATTATCGGCCCGACCAAAACGAGTCGCTTGGTGGGCAATTATCGGCCAGAATAGTCGGGCAGATAATGGGTCGGTTGTCGGGTAAAACCGACCCATGAACAACCCTAGTAATTATAAGCATATTGATTCCTTGGGGGTAAATTGTAATATACTTAAAAAATGTAGTTATTTTAAGCTTAAAACTATAATGTATTTCTTCATTTTATAATTATTAAAACGATAAAATATATATACATAATAATTAAACATATCTTAAAACATTAATTTTTTTTTTTTTTTTTTTTTTGGAAAATTTTTCATATTTTTTTATTCAATAAAATCGAGTTGACATATTTTTGAAGTATTCTCGTACTTATTATTTTATGCTACAAATATTTTTAATATATTTTTTATAATATTTCAATTTCAAACAAGCGAAATGTAAAAAATATATATTAAATAGGGTAAATAGCACTTAACCCCCATTTGGTTACAAGTTTTTGCAGATGACCCCCTTATGCTCGTAATATCAGCACATAAACTCCCTTATGGTTTAGGGAGGTAGCTTCTGTTAGTTTTTACGTCAATCTTTAACCGCATGTGTCAAGTCTTAAAATGAAATAGATTGTAATTGGACTCTTTGAAACACCCCGGGTAAGACAGATATAGAGACTTGGAGTCAACTAGTTCAATCTTTTTCACCAATCCAATTTGTAAAGGGATCGTTTCTAAATTCTAATTTGTAGCAATGCGTGAAGCTAAGTGATATAAGTGCATTCGCCGGAATGGTGCCGGAACAGTCGGAACTAGGGGCGGACCCAACGTATGCCTTGGGGGGAGCCGCCCCTGCGGAAAAAAAAAAAATTACCTTTTTTTTTATTAAATTTTTAAAATTTTATGTTATTTATCTATTAATTTATACCATTTAGCCCCCAAAGTTCAAATTTAGTACCATTTTAGTCCAAAAAAATTTCTTGCCCCCCACCCAATATTCCTTGGGTCCGCCCTTGGTCGGAACGGAACGGGAACGGTGCCCTCCGTTCTGGAATCCCTAACCAAACCGATTTTTGCACTGTGACGCGTCGGAACACAGGGATAACGGCGGGACGGGCGAGACGGAACCACAGAACGGCCGTGTTGCGGCTGGAACAGAGTTGGAACGGCCGGAACGGGAGAAAAATCTGATTAAAAAAAAAAAGAAAAGAGAAAAAAAAGCGAAAAAGGAAGACGGGGAGGCCTGGTCGTGGTCTGATGGACACCAAAATCTGGGTCAAAAGTTATTTCAGTTTTCAAATATTGCAATCTAGTCCTTATTGTTTTTTATTTCTCTTAAAATAAAGAGATAATTCCATAAGTTACAATTTCACCCCTATTTCTACTTCTCAAGGTTTAATGAATTGTTCTAAGATTAAGATTAGAGCTTTAATAATAATTTGTATATATTCTAGTGTAATATTAATATTAAAACTTATTTGACATTAATTATATTTTTTGCAATTTTATTATAATTTGTTTGTTCCGGCAGTGACGCGGCCGCGACGTAGCCGCGACATTACAATGGAACTAGAACGGCGGTGTCCGCGACAGCGGACCGCTACGTTCCGACGAACAACCATGCCTATTACTTACGGATAAGTCCATTCAACTATATCACTCTCTTCAATCAGGATAAATTCAAGCTTCGAAAATTCCTCACTGCAAATTTCCCATTTTGCCCCTCGAAAAGCATAGTACAGAACTCTAAGATTTGACAACGAAGAAATATTGCTCATTTCTTCTCACAGACAGGGGCAGAACCAAGAAATGTAATTAGGACGGGCCAGGTTTATATAAAATAATCCAACGGAGGGAGATTAAAATTTTTGGGGTTCAGGGCATCACCCCGAAGTATTTTTAGAGTAATCTATACTTCTATTCTATATCTATACTATCTATAAAAGTATGAATCATAGGTGGTTTCTTCCCTTTTATGTAGGTACTAAAATGCCCTTATGAATAGACTTCCATTAGACAAAAGTTGAAGGATAACTAAAATGTCCAATATCGCTTCTGCCATCAACGACCCTTGGTTACTCATCGGTGACTTTAATGCTGTCACTTCCCAAAACGAAAAGCATGGTGGTCTTCCTTTTGCCTCAAACTCTAAACATTGTCTCTCCTCCCTTTTCAACAACCTTGGCCTTTTAGACCTTGGTTTCCATGGCAGACCATTCACATGGAATAATAAAAGAGTTGGTTTGGCTAATATCCAAGAAAGGCTTGATCGCGGTGTTGCTAACCCCCTTTGGCTCACTGCTTTCCCTCATGCTAAGATCACCCACCTCCCTGCTATTGCTTCGGACCACACTCCTCTTCTTTTAAATGCTTTGACTGACCCAAACAACCTCCCAAAACCTTTCAAATTCGAAGCCATGTGGCTTACTGACCCCTCTTGCTCTGATGTTGTTTACTCCGGTTGGAACCAACCAGTCCATGGCTCCCCTCTCTTCAAACTCCATTCCAGAACCAAGAATGTGAGAAAGGCTCTCAAGCACTGGAACTCTACACACTTTGGGAACATCCACTCCAGAATTGATCACACAAAATCTGAAATTGAAAGAATTCAAAAGGAAGAGCAATCTGCAGATAATCTGATTTTGGATGAGAACTTGCAACTTGCTCTTGATGAATTATACAAAAACCTGGAGATTTTTTGGCACCAAAAATCTAAGGACAAGTGGTTAAGTGAAGGGGATGCTAACTCTAGCTACTTTCATCTCACCACTATCCTTCATTCTAGAAACAACAAAATCAACTCCATTAAACATTTGAACAGTGAGGTCTTCACCAGTTGGGATCAGATTGGCTCATGCTTTTTGAGTTTTTATGACTCTCTCTTTCAAACTGAGTTCCTTCCAAATGAAACACCTTTCCCTCCCAACTTAGATGGCCTGTTCACCAATGTCATTTCCAGTCAATGCAACTCTGACCTTGTCACTATCCCTTGCCACAAAACCATAAAAAAAAAAACTCTCTTCTCCTTTGCCTCAAAAAAGAGTCCTGGTCCTGATGGCCTCTCCCCTATTTTCTTTAAAAGTTTTTGGAAAACTACAAAAACAGCCCTCATTCTTGCTGTCCAACACTTCTTCAAAAATGGTTTTCTTTTAAAAGCTTTGAACCACACCTTCATTGCCCTCATTCCAAAAAACTCCAATGCCTCTAGAGTTGATCACATATTTAGACCAATCAGTCTTTGCAATGTTACATACAAGATTATATCCAAGATTATTGCACACAGACTCAAGTCTCACTTAGACTCTTTTATTTCTCCATTGCAGATGGCTTTTGTAAGTGGGAGGAACATTCAAGACAACATCATCATCACCCATGAAATCATGAATCATCTCCACAAGAAAAAGGGAAGAAATGCTCTTATGGCTATAAAAATTGATCTTGCAAAAGCTTTTGATAGACTTGAATGGCCCCTTCTTAACTGCATACTCACATCTCTTGGCTTCTGCAGGACCTTTATCAAATGGATTATGGAATGCATCTCCACCTCTAGCATGTCATTTCTTATCAATGGTGCTCCCTATGGCAATCTGAAACCCTCAAGAGGTGTTAGACAGGGAGACCCTCTCTCCCCTTTTCTCTTTGTTATTTATATTGAACTTCTTTCTAGATTGCTCAGTATGGAGGAAAGCAATGGCCACTTCAAAGGTA